TGCTTCTATTTTGTGTGCCTGCCTTCCAGGGCATATGTCAGGGGAAGAGAACTTCAGAATCACATGGCATGTTCTTAATGGTGAGCCCTATGGGTGGCTTAGATCACTTCTGTGTACAGCTCATTGGCCTAGTCACATAGCCCAAACCTACTCTGTGTGGCTGCCTTACTTCCAATAGAATTTTCTATCCTTTGGCCAACTACATTGAGAATGTAGTCTAACCTGACAGTAAAGTGTGCCTTCTCATCTCAAGAGTTCAGCATTTGATTCTTCAATCTCTTTGGCTTTCCTCATTTTAATACTTAAAATGTATTTTAAACAAATCAAAATGTAGGGCTGAAATATGCCTCAGAATTCAAAGACGAAATAAATCCTATTGGTGGATTTTTCCTAATGTGAAGCCCTATCATATTTTAGCTAATTTAGGAGAAATTATTAACAAGACAAAACAAAGCCCCATAAAGACCATAATAAACTCATTGGAGGTTTTCTGAGGGTCAGAGCATGGGATCAGCCTATTTCACTTCACTGCCTCCTGGTAAACAAATAAATGAATGAAAACCCTTTGAATTACAGGGCCATCTATAAACTGGAAAGGGACATCAACTTGTGTGGGTCTGGATAATCTCTACTTCTACAACTACTGAGAAGAACACTCTAAGTAACTGAACATTTCACAGTTCTAGAACTACATAGAGATGCTTGGTTGTGGCCACTACAGCTTTCTCAAAGGCTCAACCCGGGAAAAATCTCATTTCAACTCTGTTTTAAAAAATCTCATTTTGACTCTCCTTGTATACCCATCAAGGGAGCCAAGTGCAATTTTTCAGTGGGCTCCGAAAAAGGAACTTGGATGTGCACTCTCTGTATGCAATTTTCCATTGCCTTTACAGTCCAGGGTGGCTGAGAAATAATTTCCAAGCACATGCTGTTTAAACAAAACCCAAGGAAGCCTGTGAGTGGCTGGTGTCAACTGTCAAGACTGAGATGAGAGCTCAAGAGGGGGACAGCCAGTCTTGTGGGAACTGTCTCTTGCCTGGGCTGACATGGAGAATGCATGTGGCATATTGAGGAGATGGGGAAGTGGTAACAAGGAAGACAATGTCAATTTCTAGTATCTGACACCAAAGGACCCTAAGTCCATTTGTGCTTAAGCCAAAATGAAGTACCGTAGAGAAATTTGTAAAATCCTACTACCAAAAGATGATCAGAGGAACAAGCAAATTCTTACTCTCACAGAAAGATGGCTCTTCATATAACCCATATCCCCATAAGAACATCTGGGTTTCTCTAGATGTATTTATTTGCTTATTCCACTGGTTTGGTTCAAATAGACAGCAATAATTTGGGTCAGTGGTTAAGTTCCATTATTTCATAGTATCATCTCCAGTCTTGACTTTAAAGATATACAGTTGGCAGTTGTGGAAGGTGAAAGAATCTGGTATATTTTTCTCTTACCATTAAGAATTTGGGTTTCTCTTAGAGCAGCAGTTCCCAAGCCTTTTGGCCTAAGGATTCATTTACTCTCTTAAAAATTATCAAGGGGGATCCCTGGGGGGCTCAGTAGTTTGGTGCTTGCCTTCGGCCCGGGGTGTGATCCCGGAGTCCCGGAATCAAGTCCTGCATCGGGCTCTCTGCCTGGAGCCTGCTTCTCCCTCTGCCTTTGTCTCTGCCTCTCTCTCTCTCTCTCTCTCTCTCTCTCTCTCTCTCTCTCCCTCTCTCTGTATCTCTCATGAATAAATAAATAAAATCTTAAAAAAAATTATCAAGGAATGCAAAGAGCTTTTGTTAATCTGGATAGATATTCAGATATCTAAACTTAGAGAGTCAGTAATTAAAACTGAGAAATTTAAAACCTGTATTTATTTATTCACTTGAAAATAATAACATTCCCATTATATGGTACCATAAGTAACCTATTTTAAGGAAAAATAACTATATTTTCTACAACAAAACTTTAGCACTGTTTATCTTTTTGCAAATCCTTTTAATGTCTCATTTAATAGAAGATAATTGGATTCATATACTTGTTTCTGCATCCAATCTGTTGCCATGTTATTTTGGTCAAAGAATATGAAGAAAATCCTTCTCATGCAGATAAGTAGAAAAGGAAGAAGTATTTTAATAATCTTTTCAGATAATTTTGGGTGTTTTTCTTTAACACTAAGCTTAAACTCGGCAAGTGGTAGTTTCTTGAAGTTTAGTACAACGTGGAATCTAAAACCCTGTCATGAACTTTTCAAACTCTGTGACATTAAAATTCATCAGCCTGGGTGTTTTCCAACACCAAAAACCAATTCTCTGATTCTCCAGACACTAACTGAATGTCTCACAATTCAATTTCATTCTGACACTCCCTGAAGTTAACGTCAAACTCCACAGGATTAAGGGCTCAGTCCCACAAGGATGTTCCCACTTCAGACACCACTCAAAAATATTGGGTCCCCAAGATACCCATACTTCTGTCTGAGTCTGGCTTGGCTACAAATCATAGGTTCCATGAGCCTCCCCCCGCCCCCGCCCCGCTCTCCTCAGTTTTGATTATGTTAGAACAGCTCACAAAACTAAGAGAAACAGTCTATTTATTACTACAGGTTTATTATAAAGGACACAACTCAGGAACAGCCAAATGGAAGATATTCCTAGGGCAAGTTATGGGGGGCTGTGTGCACAGAGCTTCCATGCCCTTTCTACATGGCCACCCTTCCAGCACCTTAATGAGCTTACCAATGTAGAAGCTCTTCAACCCCCGTCATTTAAGTGTTTTTATGGAGGTTTCATCACATCAGCAGAATTGGTTATTAATTCACTCTTCAGCCCCTCTGCTCTCCTCAGAGGCTGGGGGAGGTTGGGCTTAAAGTCCTAGGCTTCTAATCAAGGTTTGGTCTTTGTGGTGACCAGTCCCCATCTGAAGCTAGCTGGAGTTGCCTCATTAGAACAAATGATGCTCCTATCACCCAGGAAATTCTAAGGGATTTAGGAGCTTTGTGTCAGGAACCAGAAACAAAGGCTAAATTAGAACAAAAGATGCTCCTTTCACCCTTCTCATTCAGGAAATTACAAAGGTTTTTGGAGCGGTGTGTCAGGAACCATGGAAAAGGCCAAATATATAATATATGTGTCTTATTGGGCCATAATCTATCAGTATACAATATACCAAGAAAGAAAAAAAAAAGAAAAGAAAGAATGAAAGGAAAGGTGGTTAACATCACCACTGACTGAATCAGAAAACTCTTTAAATATTGGGATACTGTCAAACTCCTAGTGGCAGATACAGGTTTTCCAAAAGCTTGAATTTTCACTTAAAAGCCTGCGTTTTATCACTGGCAACAGATACCATCAGTTGTTTCCCTGAAGTGACAGGCTCATTTCATTCATTTTGGAGAAAATGTCTGCCAAATACCCAAGTTTGTGTAACCACAGTGTGTCTGTCAGTTCTCCTTTGAAGTAAAATGGTGTTCCATGAAAAGAAATATCACAAACCATCACTCAAGAGCTTGGCCTCCAGACAACCACCATACTTGGCTATGCAGCAAGAGGTCTTGTGTGCACTTCCCATCCCATCCCAAAGGGTATGCCTACTTCATGAAGGACATTCCTCAGTGACATTTTTTGTTTTTATTGCAAATGCTTGATGGTGACAAATGCAATGCCCACCAATCCCATTTTATTCCACTGCCTAGATTCATGCTAAGTGTCATCAATTTTACCCATCACTACTTTTGTGCCATCAGAACATATGTCTAAATAGTGAAGACAACCAATGTCCTAGCATTGCTGGGAAAAAAAAAAAAAAGTCTCGACATTACAGATCCAGGGGTACAAGGATCATACTTTGAGAACCACTACGTTAGAAACTATCCTCCTGTTATAAAGACTAAATATTAATACTTTCCTGAAGTTCATTCATAGAAACAAAAAGAAGAACTAGAATAATTTGGGAAATACCCCAAGAAAAAGACTCAGTTACTTTAGTCACCAATGTGTATGCCCTAGAAAGAAATATATTTTTAAATATTTGAACAGCACCTTGAGAATGCAGTAAGTAAATGGTAATGATGAAAGTCGTTTATGTTTACTGTAATATTTACTACTGGAAGAGAATTGTGCTATGCATTTTATTTATTTATTCATGATAGACACACACACAGAGAGAGAGAGAGAGGCAGAGACACAGGCAGAGGGAGAAGCAGGCTCCATGCGGGGAGCCTGACGCAGGACTCGATCCCAGGTCCCAGGATCAGGCCCTGGGCTGAAGGCGGTGCTAAACCGCTGAGCCACCGGGCTGCCCTGTGCTATTTTAAGTGCATTGTCTCCAATATTCTATAGAGCCATATCCTTATTTTAAAGATGAGGAAAACGGGGCACAGAACAATAACATAATTTGACAGTGTCACAAGCTGTATGTGGTGCTGTAAAGATTTGAACCCACAACGCTTAATTCCCAGAGCTTGGACCCTTAAGCCCTGCATTATATTCTACTTCTCATTTGAGCTCCAAATTTACTTATTGTGTGTCTCCCACATCTGTGTGTCCATTCAGATCCTCATGGAGAAAGCCAACAGTCTCGTGTCAACCGTAGTGCCCAAAGAAAGGGTTTAATAAATATCAGGATGAGTGACCAAAAGACCAAGTAAACCACCTTGCTATCTTTAAGCCACAATGGTTAGTAATCATGTTAAAAGTGAAATTCTGAAACGGCAAGCCCCATCCATATTATGTTTAACTCCTTAAGAAGGGAACCAACAGGGTAGGCCAATAAAACCGTGATTCTTTGAAAGCTTGACAAGTTTTACCAGGGCAGGTGAATGCGGGTGTGCACAGCATCTACCACCTCGTCTGCTCAACAGACACAGCTAAATAGATACAGATACAGCGTCTGTCGGTTAGATCAAAACAAAGCTAGTTTACCTTTTCCAGGGCAATAACCCCCCCAACAGCTTTGGGATTGGCTTCTCTACCAGGCTCTACAACCTCAGCGTCTTACCCACTTGTGCAGGTTAAGAAGTCACAGCTCTATAGGGCAAGTAAACTGTCCGGGCCTCTGTCAGTTGTGTATTAATCACCTGCACCTCGACAACAAAGTTGCATGCCCCGGACTGGACTGTCAGCAGAGGGGCGGTCTGCAAAGAACAGAAGGCCCAGCTTTTACTGGGACGGCTCGTCAGAAAATGCTGGGGGGTAAAAACCGGTTGGGCCTTTTTCCAAGTCTGGATTTGTTTCTTCTTCATTTTTCCAAGTTTGGACTTTTTTTTTTTTTTTTTGGTCCTCAAACATCATACCTGTTTTTCCGGATGGAGATCTGGCGGCATCAGGTTCGGCCGCGCGTCTCTGTGCAATTGCCTAGGACGGAGTTTGTTCGGGAGGCGAAAGGACCTACGGGGTGCCGGGGCCCCTCCGCCGCGCCTGCCCGCGCGGCCCCGGCAGGCGCGCGCACCGTGGGGACGGCGGCGGGGGCGCGCACGGGCGGGCGGGGGCGCGCGCAGCCGGGCGGGGGCGCGCGCAGCCGCCGGGCGGCCGGGCGGGGGCCGCGGCGGGCTCGCCCCCGGGAGAGGGCCTCGCGCGCCCGGCTTCCTCCTTCCGGCGCGCCGCCGCCACATCCCGGGCTGGGCGGGCCGCGGCGCGGAGGCCGCCGGTGGCGGCGCCGAGGCCTCCGGGCGGGGCGGGCCTCCCGCGCTCCGGGGACGCGGGGCCCCCGCGCGCTCCGCCCCCGGCCAGGCCCGCGAGGCCCGGGCTGAGCTTCGCGGGCGGCGGCGCGGAAGGGCCCGGGGACCCCGGCGAGCTCCGGCTCCACGGAGGGTGAGCTCGGGGGCGGGCGGGCTGTGGGTTCCGTGGCGCCGCGGCCCCGACCCGCCCCGCGCCCCGGTGGACGGCAGCCCCGGGCCGGCTGGCGTTTCTTTGCGAGCGCCATCCCGGTGTGTTGGGTGCCTTGAGGACCTCGCTGGCTGGTGGGGTTAGTGAGGAGACCGCTCATCGCGCTAAGTATGCAATAAGGCGGCGGCGTCCTTGCCGCGGGATGGTGTGACCGGTGCGACGATCGATGCTTGGTGACCTGTGATTTACCTCTTTCATCTTTGGCTGACGATCTGACCTGTGATTTACCTCTTTCATCTTTGGCTGACGATCTGCGTTTGCGGTTGGTGCGCAGCGAAAGGAGCCGTTCCGCTTGGGCGCACGGAGCCCGCGGAGAGGGCAGGTGAGAAGGCACGTGCGCACCCTCCCGAAGCGCACGGTGAGGTGTGTCGGGTGGGTGAGAGCGGGAAGGGTGGCTGGACGTGGGGTCTCCTGCCGGAGGGGCCGCAGAGTGCTCTCGGCCCTGATGTGGACGGTCGAGGGGCCGGGCAGAAGTTGGAGCACGAAGTAGGAATTTCTGCACTTTTCTGGCTGGGAAGATTGAACCAGGTTTTCCAAAAGCTGTCGTTTTTGTTTTTCCAAGTCTCTGAAGGCAGGAAAGGGCCGGGCAATGAATAGAAAGCGGTGCAGCCAGGCTCTGCCTGGTTAGCTGAGCCCGAGGACTGTCATAAAGGGCTTTTTTTTTTTTTTTTTTGGTCTGGAACACCCAGAGCCTGAGGCTTTGGGCCCTAAAGAGTTGGGTAATGGTCACTTTTGACTGCCAGGGTGAGAAATGCCTCAGACATTCTGAAAATTAGGTAGCTCAGTTCAGGCTGGGCAGCTCAGGTTCGGTCCTGCAGCTCAGGCTTGCTGGTCTCCAGGACCTTACTTATTCTCTCGGAAATTTTCAGTGGCTGGGTGAAAAGAAAAAGACACAAAGAAAACAGTCTTCTCCCTTTTCTACCATTATAATAATGAGTCCATCTTGGCCCAAAATTGGAATTTCCAGATGGAAAGAAAAATCTTTCCATCTTTTTTTTGCTCTTGACCCTGAAGAATAGAATCTCAAAGTAATACCTGAGAGAAAAATTCTTTCCTTCGCTGGAATGAAAACTGGAGTGCTTGCAAAACTAAACAAAACAAGGAAAGACTCAGGAAGTATCCCGGGCAGTTTGCAGGTATATTCAGATCATTGTTCAAATGCTTGAGGTTAGATGATAAAAAGGTGGGAGAGAGCTGGAAATAGAAACGGGAGAGAGGTGAATTCAGGACCTTTCAGATCGCAGAAACGAAGAGTCTGTTTTCTTCCGATACAGGTCTGGAAGAATCTGGATGTGAGTACATAAAGCTTAATCTTTCCATCTGCATAATGTGAAATTGCTTTTAGTTTTAACATTGAGCTCTTCAGAGTAAAAGGAAACACGGCTAGACTGTGCTACATGAATCCCAAGCAGTTTGGGCTACATTATGTGTTAAATGAGTTGTATGTTTATTTTGCCAGCCAACTCTATTAAATCTGTAATCTCTCTAATTCCACAAGTTCGGCTTGTTTCCAGTTATTCATTCATGATGTGTCATTTGGCTAGAATTTTGCCGGGGTGTTAAAGCCTAAAGAAATGCAAAACCCAGGGAACATCTTGCTTTGGAAGATTTCATCATCCTCTACAGGAATCCTTTACCCAATGTCAAACATATAAAATAGATAAAACAGAATTTGATTTTTTTTTTTTTTGCTGCAAAACTTATTTTATTTTTCATAAGAAGTTACAGGGAACAGTCTTTTAAACAGCTACCCGTTTTGGCACAGTTAGAACATTTATTCATTTGCCAGGAATGCCAAATATAGCCCACCTCTATAAGAGACCTGTTGTGCAAACTGTACTGGAATAATCAAAGTGGTTAACTATTTCCCAAATATAAACCAAGTTGTATTAAATAAGTTGATCTTATCATTTCTAATGGTCCTTATTGTTTTTGTTTTTGTTTTTAATTATCTTATACAGTGACAGGAGGAACCAAGAATCTCAGGCAAAGCAAATACTGCAAGGAAACGTGGATGCCAGGCCTCAGAAGTTAGATTAAGGAGAATGTGAGCTCACTATTTGAGATTCATGTCATTTACCGTTCTTCTCACTGCCTCTTTTCTTGCTTGTATGGAGATTTTAGGAGATTTAAAACTCTTAAATAGGAGTATGTACACTTATACTTAGAAATGTTTTCTTAAATATAATAATAGAAGCACCTTCCCAGGCTGGGAATTAGGTGAGTTTGGTCCTTACTGACAGCAGTGCCTGACATGTAGATAACCCCAGGCAGGTGTTTGCTGTGTGTTATCATTACTCATGAAAATCTGTCTTTACCTCAGATACATTCTTCAGCTGGACAGAGTAAGGAGTGTGTTTGCATTTCTGGTAACTAAGGATGATTAATCATTCTAAGACAGTAAATTGTAATGATCATGGCCAAGTAGACAGAGGAAATTTCTGAACTTAGATTGAGAGAAACCCTATAAATTTAAAAATCCCCATGACTGTCATTGTCATGGCACTTTATATGTAATATGCATATATATATATAATACATAAAAGATATATAAAGATATACACAATACATTTATATGCAGTATTTTATTGCATAGTAATTTATTAATTTTATTGATTAGATGATAACATTTTCGTTCAAAATCTAAAGATACAGAAGCGCTGATTGTAGAATGCCTCCGGTTGCTCCAGCCTGTAGCTACGTAATTTCCCTTCTTCCTGTGAATCCCCCCAGTGCTACCAGTTGCTTGTGCATTACCAGGCTTTTTTTGGTGAAGTTTCCTTTAGTGCCTGGCTGTGTTTTGAATGAATGTTTTAAAAACTGAACATTGGATGCATGTCCTTTCCCTGGAGTATGTATGTGATCAGGGTGGGCATCTAGGAGTTTCCAGCTCAGTAAAGGACTGTGGACAGGATTCTTTATCTGGGCCACTCCCTAGACCTCTAGCTCACTCACCACGAGGGATGCTGTCTCCTTGCTGCTTTTGAGACACTGGGACACTGACCAAGCTGTTGGCTCGGGTGCTGCAGGATTTCCCTACTCTGTTCCGTCTCTTCTCAGGATTCCCCTTACCCTTCTTTGTTATTAACCATGGCCCTACACACTTGGTGTGATCACATAGATTTGTTTATTGGCTTGTCCACCTCTATAGAAGCACCGTGAAAGCAGGGAGTGTTATGTTGCCATATCCCCAGGGCCTAGGACAACTCCTGCCTCAGAGTGGGCACTTGATCAATATTGCTGAATGAATGACAGCTGGAAAAGAAGCTATTTAAACAGAGTTAAACGGACTTATTTACCATAGGACTTTTCAGAACCTTTAATAAGTGAGTATGTATAGCAAAAGTAGAACAGGGCAGGTGGAGTCAAGCTCTTCAGCAGAAACCCAGAAAGGTTTTGTGCTTTTGGATGATAGCTCCAACACGGGGAAAAGCCACTGGCAGCTGACCAAAATGGATTTACAAGCATCTTTTTGAAAATGCAGGGGAGGGAAAATCTGCACTAGATGATGGTAATAATACCAAACCCATTGTTAGTCATTACAAACATATAAAATGTGTGCTGTGTTTCTTTTAGATTAGAAGGGGGAAAAAAAAGACTGAGACTCTTGGTAGGTTCAGCTATGTTCTTGCTTCCCTAACCCTGCTTTCCCCATAAGAGGGGAAACCACCTTAACCACCAGTTTGACTTGTGGGTTTTCTGAGTCCAGCCCTCTGGCTTGGCTTCAGAACCTGACATCTCTGAGTGAAAGTCTCATTTAATGAGTGGAAATAGGAAAGCTCTAAAGACGGGTATGCTGACTCCAGGGGGCCCAGGGGCTCAGTTCAGGGCAGCACACCGTTACCACAGGGGGCCTGAGGAACACTCAGGTTTGCCACCATTAGCTGCAAGAGGCAACTTGAGAGTTGTCTTGGCTCCTTGAACAAAGGAGAGTTAATTACAGAAAATGTCAGGCTTTTTAAAGGCCATTTGTCACCGAGCTACTGGGAGAGCAGTGGCCCTTGGCAGAGGTATGGAGGAAGAGCTGTTTGTTTCAGGCTCTAGTCTCTGTGCTCACAGAAAATGAGCCTTGAGGGTGTCATCGTTGTACAGGAGGCAACCTCATGGAGAATTGGTATATTCAGGGAAACAATCCAGATTGTGGGATGGGCTTAAAGGAGCTGGCCCTAAGGGAATTTGGAATGCCTTTCGTTTTATTTAAACAAATGGGGAAAATTATTGTAATTTTTCCAAAGTCAGACCAAATCCTAATTCAACAGAATCTAGTCACCTATAGGTAGGAGGGCTGGAAAGAAGAATAAATTGGAACAGTGATGGAGTTCTTTGATTCTTATTAAACCTCTTTAAGCTGTTTTTACAGAGCATCAATGGATGCTAGTTGACAGATACTCTTTTGCTGCTAGTTGTTGTTCTTATAATAGAAGGTGGTGGTAGGAAAGTGGCTATTATGTCAAAATGCCTAGAATCTGCATTTAACAGGAGGCACCCTGGGATTTATGTGGGCATTAAAAGGAAGGGCTGGGGACTTGGACAAGCAGTTCTCAGCCCTGGCTGCTCATTAGAATCCTGTGCAGAGCTTTTAAAACAAGCCCTGGATCCATTGCCAGAAATATGTGTTGTCTTGGCTTCAACATTCTTGGGGCCCAGGGCCTTGCTATATTTTTTTTAAAGTTACACAGGGCTCGAACCACTGCCCTAAACATAAAGTCAGACATCATTAGGTAGATACCTAGATTCAGAATGTGTGAGCTCTCAAAGCAGAAGCATGCTATGGCTAACTGGAACCCCTAGTCTTTATTAGGATCCGTGAAAACCCAACCTGTTAGATATTGTGGATTTTTACTAGTTTATGTGCTAGGTTTTAGCAACCTTGATGGCGATGATGATGATGGCAGTGTGATGGCAGTGGTGGTGGTGGTCCTGGTTGTCATTGTGGTCATCTAGGAGGGTAGGTCTAGGTGGTGATGCAGAACACAGCTGTGTTAGAACACTTCTGCGCCACTTATGTAAATGATGTTGAGCCTGGAGAATGACCAAGTGGATAGTGCTTTACATTTTTGACTGTGCTGCTGGAGAAATAGTTTCAAAATTTAAATCAGGTCATGACCCTGCTGCCCCTCTTCTTGTGGAAAACTCTCTTCTGTGGCTTTTCATTGCTCACAAGGTGAAACTAAATTCCACAAACTGCTCTTTAAGATGCCGTATTCTCTGACCATAGCTGCATTTGCTCATCTCTAACATTGATCTGGAAACTCCGGCCACTGGGGTTTCCTTTGGTTCCTCAAAGGCCCCTGACTTGCTCCTGCCTACCCTCAG